AGAACTTGAGCACCGGATGAACAGTCCTCCAGTGCACTGCATGAGCACTGCTGCTGGGGCTGGGACTGCAATTCATCACCATCCCTATCACCCATTTGCTCAGATAAACTCCAAGAGCATCTTTGAAAGTCACTTCAAAAAGGCGTTTGAGGTAAACTCAGTCGGAGGTTGTCAAACTAAGTCAATGGAGGCAGAAAATAGAAAACTAGATTTGACTGGCAATCAGCAGCACTCGCCACCGCATCATCTCGCCGCTTCCTCCTCCTCTTCTTTGGTGTCCACATCGCCGCCGGTGATGAAACATCAAACTAGTTCTGAACCACCAGCGACCACTGACCATTCTAAAACCATGGAATCGATGATGATGCACTCTCCGCCATTTTCCTCGCCGTCTGCTGCTGTTCTTCCTCCAAACACTGGTCATGCTGCCTACCTAGCTGCAGCGGCAGCGGCTGCTGCTGCGGCTGCAAACGGTTCTTCTGAACAACAGGCAACTCTGATGGCCAACTACAATGGTCTCTTTGGTGGACATCCTTTTGGCGGACAACGTGCTCCGGCACCAGCAGCAGCACTACAGCTCGGTGACCCTCGAGTGCTGCACAGTGCTGGCACCACTCATCCGGCCATTCTGAGTACCCTGCTTAATGGAATGACGCCCGAAACAGCGATGACGGCCACGCAGCATCAGCAGCTACGAGCTGCCTCAAACTATATGCAAATGGCGCCCACTATGATGGCGGCTGGGGCGTCTGGAGCAGTAAGCTCTGCTAGCAGCACTACGGGATCTGATCTCACCGGTCCTCCGCCTACTGACTTTCGCCACAATCTGGCGGAGTTTATGTGGTCGATGGCCGCTTCGAAAGCTGCTGGCCCAACGCCGTACAGCTTCTTCTGGCCTCATGCTGCAGCGGCTGCTGCTGCTGCCACTTCTGTTCCTTCTTTGCCACCTCATCCTCTAGGAATGAGTGCAGGAGCTCCACTGGGCACTACAAACACTAGTCAAACCTCCTCTTCTTCAACCTCATCCACGCCCACTCTTAGCCCGAATCATGTTCCTCCAACCAGTGGAGACACCTCATCAGTGCCGAATCTGTCAGAGCCTAATGGAGGCCTTTTTGGGCACTTCGGCAAGTCGGCCACTGCAAATGCTGAAGATATTCGCAAAGCGCTGCTGCTGAACAGTGGTCTGCTCCATCAGCAGCAACAATTTCAGCGCAATGTAACTACCCAATTTCCACCCTTTCACCCAAATGCTGGTATTCCATTTCTCCCTAATTTGATGGGTAAGTTGAGGAGCAGAACAAATTGTTAAACAGAATCTAACACAAAGTACATTCTCAGGACACAATCTTCGACTGATGGCTCCTAATCACAGCAGCAGCAGCAGCACACATCCTGGCTACATGCTGACAAACAAAGAGAACACTGAAGGAGAAAACGGTTTGCCGCTGTCACAGCTAAACAAGTCACCTGAGATGCGCCTGAACAGCAACACTTCTTCCTCTTCATTGCCACCCACAACTCTGCCACCCTTTCCTTTTCGATCTGCTTTCACTAGCCCACTAGTTTCCGGTAGTGGTGGTGGAGGTGGAGGAGGTATTCAAAGTGGTGGATCAGCACTGGACCGATTCAGCAGCGAAGCACTGCTTCGAAACCAGGCACTACTCTTTGATGCTTACCACAGTGGTAATGGGGGAACTGCAGCTCGGGCTGCAACTACTTTCTTCAATCCAGGACTGTTCTCTGGGGGTGAAAACAGCTCTGCACGGGAAGCTGAAAAGTCAGTCGATGTGACCACCAGTGGTGACGAAACAGTGCCCTCAATGTTCAGGTCAATGTACCACTCCTTCAACAACGTTTCAGCAGCTAAAACCACTGCTGGTCAACGTCCTCCAGCAAATGGCTCGACAAAGTTTTCACGACGCAACCTCAAGCGAACTTCACAAGACAACGGCACCAGCAGCAGTGGCAATAAAAAGGCATCATCATCCTTCAAAGGAAAGCCATCACCGAAGAAAACGGCAAAAGGCGGTGAAAAGCTGCCTGCCTTTGAGGTCAGCTCAGTGGATTCTAAATTGAAAAATCCCGTTTCTACTGGAATGAATGGGCAGAGCCTCGAAACGAATCTGGCTACTTTTGATAGTAGTGGTAGTCAAATACAGCAGAAAAAAGCAGCAGATGAGGAGGAGATGTTAAAGGAGCAGACCGTCAACAAGATCAGTCAACCGGATATTGAAATTATTTGCGACGTCGAGGAGGACAATGCTGAGTTGCCAGTGCTCGAATGTCAAAGCAGCTCCAGCAAATCTTCCTCCCACTCATCCTCTCCCTCCCCAAACCCTAGTCACTGTAGTTCCCCCTCCCCGGTAATTCTCCCCAGTTCTTTAGGCGACACTGTGTCTTTGCCCAGTGATCCCTCTACGAGCACTAATCAGACACCGGTTTCCAGCTTGCAGCTAGTCCTCTAGTATTTTTTTTGTTCACACACCTGTACAGTTCACGCCCCACTTTGTTACCCGTACACACACACACACACACACACAGTTACTTGGTAGCACATTTGTAGCACATTTTAAAGCAGTGACTTTTGTGTCTGGTGTGCTTGAGAATGCGATCTGTTTGATGTTGAAGTAAATAATAAAACAAGTATCTAAAATAAACGGAACTTAGCTGATGCATTTTTTGAATTTTTAAAAATGTTTTCCATATGAGTCATGCGCCATCTGCATACCGGGATCATAACTCTGCGTAGCTTTGCTCCGCCCATTTGTTTTCAACGCTTTTTGCCGCTCAGAATTTTCAGTTTTTCTCCTGATTTCATCATCAGATTCTCGACAATTCCAGACACTCAAATCGTGATAAAACATAAGATGTCAGAGTTAAGTTTAAATGATGTTTTGCCGACTAAAGATGAACTTTCAAATATCTGCATCGATCAGCAGTCAACTTCTTCAGACGCCGTTGAGGATTCTTTAAATGAAAAGCAAACACCGAAAAAGAGTCTTTGGAAAAGGAAAATTGGAGCTGACATCGATCTCAGCTCAAAGCCACTTTGTGAGCGAATTCTCCGCAATCCATCGCTAACTATCTATCAAGCGCAAGAAAAAGAAAATGCTAACAAAGGTTTGTTAAAGAAAAAGCAAACAAAATCTAGTCGCTTAAATAGTCAAACAAGTTCTCTCCAAAATGATGACTTACCTCCTTCAGGTGATCAACTGCCGATACTCATGTTGGATGAAAGTGGCAACATTGTGGTGAGCAATCCTAGTCAGTACGAGAGAAAGACCATTGTAAAGACGTCAACCGCAAGTACCACCACCACCACCACCACCAGTAAATCATTTCGCCAAAATCATCGTCCGAGCAATAACTGGAACAAAGAAGACACTGCCTTCTTCTACGAAGCACTGGAGAAGGTGGGCACAGACTTTTCGCTGATGGAAGAGCTTTACTTCAAAAATCGCGGTCGTGATCGAAAGCATCTGAAGCAGAAGTTTAAGCGAGAGGAAAAGGTGAACCGCCAATTCATTGATGCAATCATCTACAAGTTCCTAAACAGTCGCATCCACCCTGTCTAAGTCACAATCTGGTCTCCAAACTTGTCAATTCCTGTCTGAAACTCTCACTACTACTTATCATAACGTGATTCCAATTACGAAAACTATGCTCTATATTAAACTTGATTGAACAACACTTTGAAAAACTGCTTGTTTAACATTTATTTTTAAGTAATGTATTCATGTTTGCAGATCTGAGAATTTGCTGGAAAGTAGAAATTATCACAAAAGTTGCACCGGACAATTGTTGGGGCAATTGACTGAAATTACTGAAATTGTTCGCGTTTCAGTTCATGAGAATTAGACAGGGGGAACTCGATGCCAACTTTTTGGTAATAGTCGCCCATCAGACGAATGTTTTCGATAACCGAAGAAAGCATGTGAGCTCGCTCGGTTTGAGATGATGGGTGTTCCGACTTGATGTGCGTAAAGTGCACGTGCAAGTGATAAAACGAAGGCTGATAGTGGATGAATGCTCGTAGCTCCTTTTCATCCAGAGAGAACTTTTCTGCAATAGCCTTACGTCCACGCGTGAAGATGCCTTCCAAAAGTGGCAGGTGATCTTGGTTCAAATCACGAAGCGAATGGAGATCTCGGCGAACGACAAAAGCGTTGATGTAGATTTCCAGCTTTTCTAGATCTGAAAGCACTTCTTTGTCAATTTTCCATTTCATGTCTTTTACGAGAATAAATCCATTCTCGTTGTCGATGTTTTCTTCGTAAACTATTCGATCAACCTGAAAAGATACAAAGTTAAAGCTATCAAAATTTCCAAAAACTCTGCGTTTTTACCTCCTTCTTGTGCTCCAAGATGTTATAGACCCATTGAAGGTGTCCAGGAGTCGTTACAAGCTTCTCAATGAACGGCTTTGTGACCGTTTTGTACAGATCCGCTGTTTCGAAGACAAAAAAGTACGGATGGTTCATGTACTTTTCAATGTCGCGTTGAGTTGCAGGGTGAATGATTCGGATGGCAATCTTGTTTATGTTGTTCTTTTCAACATCTTTAAGACTAATGTCCATCAGATACGACCCGTAAATGTCATTTCGGAAAATGTTTTTGACGTTCTCCAAAACTTCTCTACAAAATAAAAAGGCATTAGATAAAGAATACCAATATTGATGGCGAATGAAATACCCAAAGTTCGAAGCAATTTGCTTCGTGACTTCTTCCTCGAAAGCCGTTTTCTCCAGAACTAGAATCGCCGGCTGGTCCTTGTAGGTGCACTCAATACTGATGCATTTCGCACCAGGAGAAACATTGAGGACGCGGACAAAAGTCAGTGAAACTGACTTGCCGTCAAGGGGCTGGTTTCCGGCCACAAACTGGCTTAGAAGATCATCGTGAAGGGACTTAACTTCCGTAGACATCTTTAGGCCTTGTTGAGTAGACAAAGTAAAAAGCGCGACTGAAATTCTGCGGAAAGGGACAATTGACGTAATGTTTTTCAGTTCGCGCATTGCGCAAGTGATTGTTTCACGCAGTGACGAACGATTCTATCGATCATTTTCGGGCGATGAAATTCTGATTATTTTTCGGGAGATGTAACTTCGTGAATCTCTTTGAATAAAGAGGTGTTTTGCTATGGAGTTTTCCTCCAAAATGCTCCAAATGCCGGTTGATTAGCGGGCAAGTAATCAAAATCTCTGCAGACTCCACCTTCAAACGAGTTTGTATTGTTTAGGAGAGCAGCACTTCTCCTCCGGGAGAGTCGTCTGTACCCTGCAACATACAGCAAACGCTGACAACTGTCACACATGTTGACTGTTGTTGCGAGTCCAACTGTGCTTTCAAAGCTTTGCCATACCGTGTCAATTATTCTATTCCCATCGTCTTATTATTCCATTATGTCGTCGAACCAACTGCTCAACTTTGCCGGGAAGGTAGCTGTGATAACGGGTGCTGCTAGAGGACTGGGTCGAGAGTATGCCCTGCTGCTTGCTTCGCGAGGTGCATCGGTGGTCGGTGTGTATTTGCTTCCCCCCAAAAAAGATGGTCATGCTTAACTAAAATAGTGATGTGTCCAATGCACAACAGTAAACGACCTCGGTGGCAACAGTGATGGGACTGGCCAGAGTTCTTCAGAGGCAGACGTTCTGGTCAAGAAGATAGAGCAATCGGGTGGAAAAGCCGTCCCGGATTACAGTACGAAGTACAATGTGCGTTTGTGTGTTGATTCTAAAACACTTCTTTCTCTTTAGATTCAGTTGAGGAAGGCCACAAAATAGTGCAGACTGCCATCAATCAGTTTGGCCGGATCGGTAAGGCTATTGTGTATTCTACTTTCATGTCGACAAACATTTTAACATCCGTTTTGCTGTTACCAAGACATTTTGATAAACAATGCCGGCA